CCCAGCCTGCCCCTGCATCCTACACCCCCTCCCACACCTCACAGCCCCACTCCCTCCTGCACCTATCTTGTCACAACCGGTGATTGGCTGGTGGTCTGCGGAAAGGTCTGCGCTGAGTGGAAGGGGGCCATGGCCAAAAAGTCTGAGAACTGCTGCATTATATACAGGGTCGGGGGACACTGACCCACAGAAAAAACCCCAAACCCGCATGGACGTGACCCGCGACTGAGAAGGAGAAAGCCCCTCCCCCGATTCCCCTCGCACACCAGAGCCTTGGGGGGCCCAGGCTGGTAGATTTTGTGTGCTCCCGCCCCAATGCTGAGGGGGGGTCCCAAGCTTTGGGGGCCACATCCAGGCCTTCGGTTCCCCACCCCAGGTTTACAGTTTGGTTCAGTGGTTCTCAGCACCCCCCTGCACTAGAAAAATTGTTCCGGCCCCACCCGCTCACACTGCGAACTCAGGAGCACCGGCTCACAGGGCAGGAGCGCGCAGCCACATGACTCCGAGTGAGCCACGGGCCGTGGGGCCCCGACGATGCCCTGCAGTGCCGGAGAAGGGGCGTGGGGCTCTCTCAGGACTTCGCAGAACAGGGGAGTCCGGCCCTGACGCCCCATGGTCCCGGCACAATCAACCTTCCAGGACCTGGGAGATTCCCATGCTCGGGGAGCGCCGGGAGGGGTGGAGAGAGGAGACCCGGGCATGGCGGAGCCAGCTAGGATACAGACACCAGGCCTGGCACGGCCTTACGTTACCCAAGCCAGAGGGGGACGAGAGCGGGAGTGTATTCCATGCACAGCCACGGGGAAGGGGGTGCAGCAGCAAGGGGGAACAGGGAAGGGGCGCCCCACTGAGCCATTAACAATTTGGCAGGGGTCCTGGGGGGCCGTGCCCCTGCCGGGGGCTCCCACGAGTGGCCCCGGCAGCCAAGCTGCGGCGAGCCTCGGGCCGGGTGTCGGAAAAGCAGCTTCTGCGGAGGCCGCACAGAGGGTTAAGCAAGGCGCAGAGAGGAAGTGCTCACACAAGGCAGCCTTTCAGCTCTTTCTGCCCTTATATGGGCACTCGGCGGGAGCCGGCTGCTGCCTGCGGAAGGCCAGACGGAGTCAGGCGGCAGACCGCTTTCCCATGCACTACACTGCACCGTCGGGCCGGGTGTCGGAAAAGCAGCTTCTGCGGAGGCCGCACAGAGGGTTAAGCAAGGCGCAGAGAGGAAGTGCTCACACAAGGCAGCCTTTCAGCTCTTTCTGCCCTTATATGGGCACTCGGCGGGAGCCGGCTGCTGCCTGCGGAAGGCCAGACGGAGTCAGGCGGCAGACCGCTTTCCCATGCACTACACTGCACCGGGCGCGCGTGGGGAAGGACAGCGTGCACCCCGGGGGCAA